CAGCAACAAAAGTGCGAACGGGCACGATGAAATAAGGCGGCATCTCAATGCGAGGTAATTCTCCGCTCCTCAGAGCGTATACAGGATTTTCGGATACCCGGTGCGAGGTAAGTCGCATACGGTCTATACATTAGCGGTACACCNAGAACAGGCTAAACTTTCAACGCCAGAACCAGATGGTTCTACGGACCTCAGAGGACTTCAGGACTACCTAGCTGGAGAAGACTCTGTAGCGGGACCTCCGGGACGGCGTGTTATAGTGCCATCATCTCATATTGGAAGTCCGTGGGCGATGCAGCAATCGTTACAAGACGCCATGGCCATCGTTGCGCGTTTTGGTAAACCGACGTACTTTATAACAGTGACATGCAATCCACAATGGAAAGAAAGACAAGAAAATCTGTTCAGTGGACAAACGCCATCCGGCAGACCAGACTTGGTATCGCGCGTATTCAATGCAAAATTAAAGGAGCTGTGCTCCGATTTGTTTAAAAAACATGTGCTTGGTGAAGTGCAACCATATGTTTATGTGGTAGAATTCCAGAAGCGTGGCTTGCTGCACTGTCATATGTTGCTGATAATGAAGGAAGGATGGAATACGCACGTCTGAAGAATGTGACAATGCAGTCAGTGCTGAAATCCCTAATCCGGGATTAGAACCAGAACTGCACAATGCCATAACTTCTTACATGATACACCGAAAGTGCGGCCTAGCAGATCCCCGCTCACCGTGTATGGAGGGTGGATCATGCTCGAAGCGATTTCTGAAACCTTTACGACGCGAAACATCAATAGAAGGCGACGGATGTCCACCCTACAAAAGACATGGTCCATATCCGTTTGAAATCCATGGATCATCTTATAATGACGAGTGGATCGTGCCTACGAATCCTTACTTGATTCTGAAGTTCAATTGTCATCTGAACATGGAAGTTTGTGGAATGATTTCGGCCGTCAAATATCTCTACAAATACATTTTCAAAGGACCAGACTGTGCAAACCTCAGCAACAAAAGTGCGAACGGGCACGATGAAATAAGGCAGCATCTCAATGCGAGGTATGTCTCCGCTCCTCAGAGCGTATACAGGATTTTCGGATACCCGGTGCAAGGTAAGTCGCATACGGTCTATACATTAGCGGTACACCTGCCGGACTTTCAAACTATTTACTTTGCTCAAGGAAGAGAGAGGGAATCCGTGAGTCGAGCGCAAGAATCCTTTACGACTTCGACAGCATATTTCCAGCTTAACGCTCGGTGTGCTAAAATCTTCGACGGCACATAGCGGCCGAAGTCATCTGTGGATGCCAGGAACCTTTACTACTTCCAAATTCCTGAGCATTTCACGTCTAGTCGAAACCGAGGATGAACGCCTAGAAGGGGAAGCGGAAAGCAACTCGGAAGAATGCATACTGTCTCACCGAGGACACTGAAAGATATGGCCTACGGATCCTTCTACTCAACAGGGAGGGAAAACATCCTTTGACGACTCCGCGCTGTTGTGGAACACTTTACCACAGTTTCATCGATGCAGCGAAAGCCGCTGGCTTTCTAGATGATGACACTTACCTGCGCCAAAGCCTTCAAGAAGCAGTCCAGTATCAATCTGCTGCAACAATTAGTTCTGCATGCTTGATGTGTTTTTGTGACGTTTTCCAAGCGCAAGATCTATGGAACGAATTCGCCGATGCGATGTCTGACAATTACGTCCACCAAGGAATAGAAAGAGAATTGACGGTCTCTTATGAAAACAACGATGCGTTCGACAAAATTAATCTGCTCGGAAAGAACTTGACGCAGTTCGTAACTTCACCAACGCGGGACTGTCCCTCACTACCAAGCGCCTCTAATGACCATGAGGCTTATTAAAGAGAAGGCAATCTCCAATATAAAACTCTCAATGCTATGCAGAAATCGGCAGCAAACAATATTCTTGCTGCATTCGAGGGTAACGGAAACAAGCGCATCTTCGTCGAAGGCCCAGAACGTAGCGGAAAAACATATTTGTACAACACATACAAAATTGCGTTCGGAGAAGACTACATGTAATATGTGTGGCGTGAAGCGAGATTGCCGCTAATCTTTCACCTGGACGAAAGACAGTAAAAAGAAACACAAGCGACAGTAAACACATTCAAGTTGAACATTGCTGACGAAAACCATAACTCCCTTATGAAACGACGAGTGAAAGAGGCCCAACAACTCATCCCAGCTGACATGATCACATGGGTTGAATTGGCTCCGAAGGTCGCTCTAGAAGCAGTAGATTCGCTATTAAAAGATACACTGCAATTTGATGTACCCTTCGGTGGAAAAGTTATGGTAATGGTGGCGACTTTAGGCAAATTCTCCCTGTAGTCGAGCATGGTCAGCACGAAAACATTGTTGCGACTTGCGTTCTTAAGTCCAACCTCTTGCCGCTGATCTCCATTCATCACTTGAACGTCAACATGAGAGCGCAAGCTGGAGGAAGTGCGTGGCAAACACGTCTCATGGAAATCGGAAAAGGCGATCAAATGACTCCGATGATCGCGTTTCAGTGCCAATCACAATGATGTGTGTGACTGATACTATCACGGGAATTTTCGGTAGTGCTATGGATCAACGTAGCACCTCACAGCTATGTAAGTGTGCTACAATAGCACCTAAAAATATTCATGTGAACAACTTAAATGAGGACGCTTTCGAACGCCTAGAAGTTCTTAAACCTGAGACGAGAGGTTGTACAGAAGTGTTGATGAAGCGATCCACTCTGAAGAACAAAGTGATCACCTTTCCCCGGTAGAGTACTCAAACTTTTTGATGCTGACGAGAACGCCATCACACAATTTGCTTTTGAAGAAAGACACTATCGTCATGCCTCAGAGAAATCCAGACGTCGCCAATGGACTCCACAATGGAACAAGACTCAAAATTGAGACATTGGGCCGTTTTACTTTGGGATGTCGATTTTCTAGTGGTGAACGCAGTGGTCATCATTACCAGAATCAATCACTGGGAAAAAAGAACGCCTTTCCGCCTACGTCGAAGGCAATTCCTATTCGTGTAGCTTCTGCGATGACTATTAATAAGGTCCAATGCCAATCTTTTAGCAAAATCGGCACCTATTTCCCAGAAAGCGTGTTTGCTTACGGGCAGGTTGACGTCGCCCTATCAAGAGCGAGGACCCTGGAGGGAACAGGATTGAGTCGCCTTCACTCTTGCTGAATAATAATGTGAATACAGAAGTGTTGTTTTGATAAATTACATGCCTCAAAGTCAAGTGTTATGTAGACCACGCTAATACCATAGAGGGGCTGAACAAACTTTCCTATTACCCAGCAAACACCCTTCCTGAACTGCTTGCCAGTCAGTCCGCCTGTTAGTGAATCTAGCAAAAAAATTCCATGCTTTCCATGAGATTAAATGAAACAAATGGTTGCCACTGCAGCAACGTTAGAGCAGGGGCTCAGATGGTAAACGTCTGAAAAGAAAATCAGAAGCCAAATTATGGCTAGAGCCCCAGTGCACGCGATAGCGTGCGTAGCGACCTGGTAAGCTATGAGGAGTAACTTCTATTGTGTTGTTTGAGGACATTGTATAGTTGTGGCGCGTCTATGATTTGAGAAGAAGAAGGGAAAGAAGTATATGAAACACATAGACAGGCAAGTTCAAATAGTCATGAATGACTGGATACTTCTAATTATGCTTATCCAGGTGTCTTCGTTACTCAGGCTGAGTCCTTTGTATCTCGGTGCTTTGGGCACCTTCGGAAGGATGAGAGTTTTGAGGTTTCGGTTTATGTCAGAGGCGCTAAGATAAAGGCTTTTTCCTCGAGAAATGGAGAAATGTTGTATATAAGGAATCCTACTTCCTCCTGCAGGTTGTCAATACTACATTTCATGATAGATGCGTGACAGTAGCAGGAGTCACTTCAATTTCTTTGTTCTAGAAGTCATCAGCTGCCTAGCGCTGAATAATCATAACGCAAGGGTATACTCATTTTTTCACGGGCTACTTTTGATGTCATGGTGCCGTAGCGTGAAGGTAGTAGATGGCTGTTTTCTGTGCTTTATACCAATCCTAGACCAACTTCAGAAGCTCAACCTTGATTTGCAGGCGAAAAAGTACGTTCACTCCATTACATCATATTGAAATACCCCACCCGTTAAGATATTGATGATATAGACTTGTTTATTTAGACTCAGACGTCGCTATCGACAAAAGGATAAAATGGTGTTCACCGGGCAAGTTCAGTTCATCAGCGATTTTTTCAGCAGCTAGCAGTCATGGTGATACCTGCAACTACAGCCCCGAACCAGCCGTTGGTAATGTTGTGAACTCACTTCGTTTCCTTTTTTCAAAACGCACTGACTAGTGTGAATTCTAAAAGCAAACTTGACTAGTTCGACCCAGCCTTGCTTGGGAATTTTCACTGTCATGAGACTTCCCCATGCTGCATTTCTCATATTTGACGCCAGTAAACTTTATTCTCTCGTTCTGAGCCTCTGCTCGAGGAGTTTCCGGTGCCCGAGAGTTTACTCTGTCATATTTTCCGGAAGCACATCTGTACTCACGCAGCTTGCAGAGTTTTTTCTTGTGTAGTCACGACGGAAAAGGCTATTTATAATATACCAGTCGGCTCACCCGGCTAACGCCGGGCTTCCCTCCTTCTTCGACAAAGTTGTAGTAATCGGCTAACTTCCTGCTCTTTCTTTGATACAAATAATACAGTGCTAATGGTATTCAGTGAAGTCGATGCTTATGCCTTCGGTTGGAAGTGTCGATCTTCTGCTCTCTTTCTTTAATAGACACCCACCAAAAATTCAATTGCTAGACAACCAACGCCTTGGGTGGTACTCACAAATGTTTCGAGTGATGATAACACCATTATCAGATGTCATATCAATGGACCCTTTCCTTTACGGAGATATCATTTATTGAGAATTCTAAGTTACTGGTGGTCGGTTGAGTTTTGTCGCGCATAATATAGACCAGAGAGTATCCTTCATTGAGTTACAAACCTCGCTGGGTGGCGGTCGCAATCTGATAGCGAGAAATGGACATAATGTTCATCTTCTTATCGTAGCGCCGCTAATGGGTCCCTACACTGCACTTACCACTCACTTTTGTCACCCTACTCTACCATCCCATCTTATGGAATGAAACATACTGAAAAGTCAAAGTTACATCGTAAACACCGATTAGGATTTTGAATGGCAGGTGGCTCTTACTATCTTAGGCCCCTCATGTTCTCTTAACAGTTGTCATCGGTTGCTGTCACCGAGTACCCACGATCCCATCATATCCTACATCACTTATTATTATGCCCAAATTCCTATGTTAATACGGAAAGCTGTGATCCTACCAAATTTCACGGGAACAGAAGAATATCCGCTCAACCATTTATTTCGCGCAAGCCCGCCCTCCTGTGAGCAGAATCTGGCCTGCCACTCACTATAAGAGATCTCGTCCTGCTCTTCGTACTCTTACCGAATTTCAGCGCTCTAGGTCCACGTAAACAGGAGTTATGAATTCGCGACCTGAAATTTCTATCCCGTTCCCTGTAGGCGGAGTCCAGCCGTGCTACCTCCCATGAGTGTTACCATCCTACCCCCGTACTACTACCAAGTTTGAACGCTCTAGGTCCACGGGAATAGGAGTTATGAATTCCCGGTCAAACACACACACCGACACACTTAGCGAATTATAAAAAGTAGGCTTTTCAGTATTATCGTGAGAGTGAATGATTTGGAATCACTAAGCCTATTCAGCCATTCATCGAGCAGCTAAATAGTGACGCTTCAGTACGCCAAGCTCAAGAATTGGCGAAACGGCGTATCGACCACTATGAATCAATAATTAACGCAAATGTGAGGAAAGAATTTTTTATGTGAATATTTGTCAGGCTGTGGTTACGGCTGAACTTTGTGCGTCCTGAGCGTTGTTTAGGCCCTGCTTTGATCGGCATCTATTCTGAGCGTGGTGAAGCGTAGAAGCTGTAAACATATTCATACCAAAGCTTGATAGTAGAGACAAGTGGTAATCCACAAGGTGTAAGGTCCAATAGAGCCAATATGTTGTGTTATCGCTGAGAAAGTTCAGGGAATAGAAAATGAGGCGTTTTGAAAAAAAATCTCTCAGGGTGTCCATTTCCGAAAGAGTGTAAATCGTCTAGAACGGGTGAAAGGGTGGTATCGATAGGCAAAAATTTTAATATGTCACCGCTCATCCGGCATGTATCCTTCAAAGCACATCGTGTGTGGTAGGGAACATAGGAGTGGAAGCATAGACGCTAGATAGCTTGCCACAGGCGAAGAAGTTTTAAAAAGGAGCTTAGGTGAGCGGCCAAGAAAGGGACCCTTGTCACATCCGTGAATTTCTTGCCTTCTACGCTATAGGTCTATGAGAAAGGGTACTTTGATGAGTCCTCAACTGTTTAATTCGTCCTTTATTTCTTTGATTAGTTCCTTATTCTAATGCCCCGCAACAAATAATTAAGGCGTCACGGAATGTGTCTTTAGAATTGACTCACTTTCATTTTTCTCAGAAAAAATGAAGAATGCTTAGTTTAATGTGTCTGTTTCAGAAAAATTTACCGAATGATCAGAAACTCTTCACTGGGGAGAGCATCACATTGCGCGTGAGTTAAGGATTGTCCATCGTTCCAATGTAGCTCAAGTGATATCGTATCAAAGAAGTATAATACTTAAACGCCGCTCCGCTAGGACAAGCCAAAACGATGCCTGCGACAAAAATGTAGGGACGTAAATCAGTTATACCCAACGCATCTATCTCAATCACTTGAGATCCCGATGAGTAGAGTAGGGTGGATAACAGCGCTTGTCAAAGATGGATTCGTCAAAGTTTGGATACATAGAGTATACATACTTTCGCTTTGATCAACTAACCTGTCTTTAGAAGTCAACTTGTTGCCCGTGTCTTCGTATGGGAGCGGTCGGGATTGTAGACACAGTGACTTCAACATTAAAGTTAAATAATACGCGAAGGTCATTGTAAGTATAGCAAAGATCTCTGAGAAGTCCTTTAATTATTGGGAGCTAACGTCATGGCGTATAGAACGATCTGTCGCACGAGGAGTTGGTACATTGTATCAAATTCGCTCCTCAGCGCAATATTCCGGCCCCAAAGTCTAAATATTACTCCATTGACCGGATGTAGAAGTGATACTCTGCGTTTTGCGTATTTGTGCTGAACCGGTGCATTTCCAACAATATTGAAATCTTTTTGTTAAGGATGGAAGTAAAATCCGTTCCGGTAGCACGCCACAAGGACGATTCTACTATCTGGTGCACAAAGATCAATGGCTCTACTTGGAACGAAGCGCGGACGAACGGTTCCAGACGCTACTTGTGAGCGATGCTTCACCCGATGAGCCAAGTTTGATACAAAAATTCACAGCACGCTGATGAATCTGTCATCATTCAAATGTATTTCCGAAATGTTTGGCAGTTAAAATAAAGTTTTCGTCAATAAAATACAATTGAAAACGTATCCAGCTGTCGTATTTGTTCAGCTTCAGAATTCATACTCACAACACAATACATGACGTTACTATTTTGTGAACTTTGGTTTTTTAAATTTTTTTCCATCAATATCATGCGCCGGAGATGGTGTCGTGGCGAGCACTATCACACAAGTACAGTCACGGGTTTGAATCCCCTATGAATACCCGTCTAGTCCAACCAAGCATTCCATCCTTTCAATGTTGTTTAATTGGTACTAGACTCGTCTGGGGGGATGAAAGTACTGAATTATATTATACATGGCTGGCCGACGCAATTCATTGTATAGGCCGCATACGCGTTCAATCCGCCTCTACCACTCTGAATGGGAATCGAATGTGGCCCACCCCGGGATCGATTAACAGCCCAAGCCTGGGACTTGTATACATATTTATGAAGCTTCGACCAAAATGGTACAACTTGGTTCGGCTAAGGTTTCGATCTTGTCGCCTACGCAGAAACCTAGTAACTTTGACTTTTCGGGAAGGCTAGATGAGTCCAGCACTGTATGCTCAGCACTACGCTCGTGTTTCAGTGCAATAACGTGAAAACAGCAGTGAGCCAGAAGTTCATGTGTTATTTCTGTGCACTTCTTATGGAAAATTTTGTTTTCTTGAAGTGATTTTGATATCGCTTCTGACAGATTACGACCTATGACAAGTCCAGCACAACTCAGTAATCTCCATTCCAATTCAGCAAGCATGAAAACCACCGCAGTCTCGCCTCGGTGTAGTTGTAATGCTCTCCTACTCCATCGTTCCAATTGGAGTCATCATGTCGCTATAGCCACGCCATGTCATACCAGATATTATGTGTTGTCAAAGATATAAGGTCGGCAGCTTTAAATGTTTACAGCTTTATTGATGTTCACAGTAAGTAACACTTAGAAGATAATCAATAGGCAATAAATCGAAAGCAAGCTAGTAGCTGTTAGGAAGCAAAATCCAGTCAACCCTAACCTAACTCTATCCAGGTGGGCGCGGGTGTAGCGCCTGTACGGTGTAAATATCGGAAGTAGAAGGTGCTTTGAGGTCACGGTTGAAGGAGCAAATTGTTTTGAAAATATTGGAGCCTGTTACGCTTATATATGGTATAGCTCGGCCGACTTACTAGTACCGCACATTCGATGGCCGCTTGCTCCCCTTGTTAGAAGAGCTTCACAATGGGATATCACTGAAAAGAATCCACATCGAACCATCTAATCAGGGTGTGGTGCTTTAGGAACAAAATGGTCGCGTCGCGGTGAGAGGGGCGTCGCGCGCGGAGGAATGTAGCAGGATGCAGCAGTAGGTAAGAAATACAAGAACAAAAGTACTAATAGTAGAATTATGCATAAAACAATGATCGCATATCGATTGTGCTGTATGAAGAACGCTAGAGCTGTAATAACGGTGAATGAGTGGTCCGCGACAGCCGCGTGCGGCAAATTGATTACCCAAAATCGTTCCTAACGCCCGTCTCCCACCTAGTCAGACTGCGCCTTAATCATCCCAGAGAATTTCTTTAATATGGTTGCTTGTCAGTTTTCTTCGCCCATAACTCGAATGGGCGTGAACTTTCGGCGATGGGTAGATGTTCGAGCTTCCTGAAAGAATAACTAACGGTCAAGAAGCATCATATGTTCAAAGATACAGTACACCACCGATGTTGATCAGACCGCGGATTCCTCAGGAATTCATGGAAAACCTTGTCGTCGAATCCAACATTTGCAGCCTGAAAAGCATTCCGCTTACCGTAGATACCCTCTGTTCCCTTTGTTTTGATTTTTCCACGAGTAGGCATTATCATAGGAAGTGTCCACCTGTTCAGTAGTGGCTCCATAGTAAATGGAATCGAAACGTGCCCATAAACAAGCACCCAGACACATTGGACATGGGTAACATGAAGCGTACAATACACAACCTGAGAGGTTGTGCGTGTCTGAAAAGACGCAGGGGTAATTCTTACTTTATTTCCTAGTTTCGAGTCCATTGCCAACCCAGAGTATGGGTCTGTTGCTGTCGATCACTCAGAGAATAAGTTTTTGCATGCTGTGCATATCTTGTCGCGGATACGTAAACTCGGATGTGGTGCGTTAGGAACGAAATGGTCGCGTCCCGGTGAGAGGAGCGTCGCGCGCGGAGGAATGTAGCAGGATGCAGCAGTAGGCAAGAAATACAAGAACAAAAGTACTAATAGTGGAATTATGCATAAAATAAAGATCGCGTATCGATTGAGCTGTATGAAGAAC